TGACAAAGTAGTTCACTGTCACAGAAACTGATTTCCACCTTATTTGTTCTAAATAGAAAAAAAATGCAAGAAAATAGTATTTTATACATGTACTTTTGAAATGAAATGGTGTGGATTTTAAAGACTTTTAAACTAAAATAACTGTAGGGGAGCATGACATCTGTAGAAATCTGGAAGGAATGAGGAAAGACACTGTAAATATTCACACCTTTTACTTGTTCTGGAGTACTTCTTGGGTGTTTCCCTTACGAGGAAAATGGAATAAAATAGAAAATTGTTTCTACAAAATTGCTGTTCAATGAGTAAATTAATTCCAGTGTATGAAGAAATTTGAAAGTGTGAGTGACCAGAACTTCTCTTGATTTTCTAGATGTCTTGATGTCCCTTGCTCACTACAGTCAAGGTGGTGATGGACCCCTGTGCCGACCTGTAATCCTGCTGCCTATGGATAATGCTCCTCCCTTCCTGGAACTTAGAAATTCCCGCCATCCGTGCATCACAAAAACTTTCTTTGGAGATGATTTTATTCCCAATGACATCGTAATTGGCAGCAAGGATGACGGCAGCAGCAGTGAGGCCTCCTGTGTGTTGGTAACTGGCCCGAACATGGGTGGCAAATCTACGCTCATGAGACAGGTGATTGTCACATGTTCCAGGGTACCTCTGGGGTTTGGGTAAAGGAACTACAGGGCCTGGCTGTCATGGGTGTCACAGGAGGTCCCAGAAGTGGTCTGCAGGGTATGCAGCAATTGCACAGGCTGGTAGAAAATCCCATGTTCAGACAGATTTTCTGCTTTAGCGAGGGATGTTTCATTTGTCCTTGGAGAGGAAAAAGTGATTGAGTACTGTTTATCTTTTTCAAGTTACTTACCCAGGACTTGGCATCAGCTGGCAAAAGATGCTTCTGCAGGTTGAACAAGACAAAACTAGAGATCAGCAGGGAGGTTGCTCTATGAACACTGCTTGCTGTGATAATTTTTATTTTGAAGGCTTTCAGAGTAGTTCAGTTGTGCCAGAGTTGATGCTGCTGTAGCCTGGAGCTGTTAAAGCAGCGGGAAGCTTTATGTACTCCAGTCCGTTTTAGGGGAAACACAGCTTCGTGGCCTCACTGTGTGTGTGGAAGTGAAGCTGCAAGCAGCAGTGCAAATGTGAATGTCCCTGTTTGCTGTGCAGGCTGGTCTCCTGGTGGTCATGGCCCAGCTGGGCTGCTACGTGCCCGCGGAAGCCTGCAGGCTCACACCCATCGACCGCGTGTTCACACGGCTCGGCGCCTCCGACAGGATCATGGCCGGTGAGTGTCTGGCACTGCACAGAGGGCTCTTGGCACAACTTTCTGCTTTGAGGAGCAATTGGAAAGGGGACAGTGTTTTGCAGGGAGAGCTGGGCAGTCTTGTTCAGAGTGGAGACAGGATTGCACTTAGGCTTTATATTTTTCATGTGTGTTCCCGTTCAATTTTTGACAGACTCACGGGATCACTTCCTAATGAATTTTAATATTAAAAGCCTAACTCCCAGCTGGCTGCAAATCTGAGGAGTATCTTTTTGTAGAATTGATTATATTCTACTCTCCCTTTTTCTTAGTGTTCTGAAATAGGACAGTGATGTTGGGAAAGCGGTTGCACAGGAGTTGTTTTTGTGCCTCCTTGCAAGGATTATAGAAGCCCCTTGTTTCAATCAGAATCAATCAGAATGTTTGAAATCTGATTTCTTCTGATGAGGAAGAGAGGCAGATGTCCTCCTTGGAAGCAGTAGTTGACAGCTCTTGGAGTATTCTGTTCCTTCAGTGGAGAGGAAGACAGAAGTGGAGGATGACATGACAAGTGGAATGGTAAAGTCTGCCAGTGGTGATGGGCAAAGTGCCACTGGGCTAGAAAAATAAAATGATTGTTGTGGTAGGAGTAGTATCACTGCTCGTTTAAGAAGGGCACAGATTTTCTGTGATCTGTCTGCTGAAAAATGTGGGTCAGTGAATATGAAAGGAGTTAAGCCCACTGAACTTGTTGCACAGAAGGAATTTGGAAATGAATCATTCAGAGTTCTTAATTAAAAAAAAAATATTTACACTTCCCAAAATCAATGCTTTTCTTCGCAGCTAGAGAATATTATTAAGGCTTTCTTTGCCTAGCTTGTCTCTATTTTGTTTAATTTCAGTACAAGAAGGAATCAAAAGTGTGGAAGAATACTTCAGTGCTTATGGTAGAAATGAAAAGGGCCCTTCCTTCATGAGAGATGGTCTAGCAAAATGTAGCATTTTCAATTTTTTTTCAGTTAACTGAAAACTATACATTTGACATTTCACATTGTGAGGGTGAACACTGCACAGAAACAGCTTTGAAATCTGTTCTTGATGCATTTGTGATGCACACTGTGTAGTTAGGAAAGCACAGCAAAAGTTCCACGGCAGTCACTTTGTAATGGATATCAGTGGGACTTTTATGAGGTTAATTTTTTAAGTAATATAATTTTAGGGCTTTATTTTCTGAAGAGAATAAACGGTTATTCTTAAATATTGTTAAAAACATATTAAATCCTGGTAATTTCTTTAAATAAATGCAGAAAATCAGGTGGACACTGCTTAATAATTCATATTGGAAAACTTATGGTAGAGCAAAGCAGTTCTCATGCAGCATGAGTACAGGAAATAAATGCTTGCCTTTAATGGAATAAATTGCATTAATTTGTTGCTACTTGTGATTACTTGTAATAGTCCCCATAAAGAACAAGTAAATCCTGACTTTTTAAGTGTGGCTTTATCATGTGGAGGGGTTTGAATAACTGTGTACTTCTGCTCATAATCTGCTAAAACAAATTTCAGGTGTAAATTTCAGGCCCTGTATTATCTGGGTTGCTGAAATTCCCATGAGATGCTCGAGCCTTAGCAGCAGAATATTGCTTTTGCCATACTTCATTCGAGGACAAGTAAAGCCTTTATTAGCCAAATCGTTCCCTTGTGACATCACAACCAAACCAGTAATTCCATTCACTCTGATTTTTTTTGCTTGTTTTTTTACTGGAAAGCCACACCTTTGGCCTGTCCTGTGCATTTAGAACACGAATGGGACAAAAGTTCTCCCCATCTTGTAGTTTTTGTGCCCCTTTTCTTGTCCAGCTGTTACTTTTGACTGGTGCTATTAAAAGTTAAGCAGGTGTGTTGGCCTGAAAACTTAATTAATTGTGCTTGTGTCTGTACTTGTACTCTAAGGAACCAAAACTTGTTTTTTCTGGTGAATGGGAAGCTGCTGTTTTCACACTGGAAAAAAAGTGTCATGTTTTTTGTTGATCTTCAGTTTGCTATTGAGTTTCACTTTAGCTTAACCAAGATTCTAGTGCAGATTAAATGAGGTTTTAGTTGTGGTTCTCAGATATTTGACTACTTCATGGCTTTTTTTTTCTTTTTGTCATTTCCTTTAAAGGTGAAAGTACCTTCTTTGTTGAATTGAGCGAGACTTCCAGCATTCTGCAGCACGCAACAGAGCATTCCCTTGTTCTCGTGGATGAACTGGGTAATAAGACTGTTTTGTAATAGATGGAAGCTAAATGTGAGGGATGAAAGACTGGCTGCAAGGTTTTTTTGTCTGAAAGGCAACCAAGTACACAGGGCCAGTTTCATCATAATGCTGCTGGTGTTTAACTGGTGTCTCAGCCTCTCTAACATTAACACATCTTGGGTGCCCTGGGAACTCATCACCACCTCCCACCCGCAGTCATTATTACCCTATTTCCAGCTGTGGTTTCCTGCTTTTCCTTTGCATAATTACTTGCAGTAAACCTCAGGAGAGCAGAAACTTTTTTTTTTTCTGGAGTGCAGAGGAGGGTGATTGTTACGGGGCCAATTCTCAGGTCACTTCCCAGAGATGGCTCTCACCCCTCACTGCTGTTTGTCTTGCACACAGCGGGGAGAGGAAAAAACACTACAAATGCATTGCTGCATTTATCTGCAGGGTGTCTGTCTCTCCGGCAGCATGTGAACTGTGGACTGACTTGACCGTGCCCTTTGTGTTCCTGAGTGTGACAAAGCTGTCCCGTTGTGTCCCCAGGCAGAGGCACGGCCACTTTTGACGGAACAGCCATAGCGAGCGCGGTGGTGAAGGAGCTGGCGGAGAGGATCCGCTGCCGGACGCTCTTCTCCACTCACTACCACTCCCTGGTGGAGGACTATTCCCACTGTGGGGCCGTGCGCCTGGGCCACATGGTACGTGTGTCACGTGGATGGGATTTTCCGCTGGAATCTCTCCTACTTTTCTGTGCTCTTCTGCCCCGAGAAACTGGTGTTTAGAGAACAGGACACGATATCCCCTGCATTTCTTAGGCTGCAGGGCAATATTGCAAACTCTGACTTGTGACTTGCTCTTCCCAGGCATGCATGGTCGAAAATGAGAGTGAAGATCCAAGCCAGGAAACAATTACGTTCCTGTACAAGTTCATTGAAGGAGCCTGCCCAAAGAGCTACGGTTTCAATGCAGCAAGACTTGCAGATATTCCAGAGGAAGTCATTCAGCAGGGGCACAAAAAAGCCAAGGAGTTTGAAAAAACAACCATGTCGCTGAGAATATTTAGGTAAGGCCCTGGGTTTCTGTATTTAAGTTGCAAATTGCTTATAGGAACCCATTTTAATATTTGGGCAGTGGCTTTTGCTCAGTCATAGCTACTTTTGTGAGGGAAGGAGGTATGGTGGTGGGAGGGCAGATATGATGAGCAGTACTTTAAGCCTTGGGTCACTGCCAGTCTGAACTTGCACAAAGAGGTACTGGGCAGGGTGCTGCTGGCAGCCTTTACATCAGGCCCTGCATCCATATCTCCTAAAGCTGTTGCAGGAATGGGAACCTTAAGCTCTGGCCCTCAGTGTCCATGTCAATACAGGTGGTTATTTCCCCCAGGTACCTGTGCCAGGTGGTGGATGGAGCAACCAGTGATGCAAATGCAGTTCGGAAACTCATGGAGATGATCAACCGGCTTTAGGAACTTGCACGGGTTTCTCAAAAACGTGGGAGCGGACAACATTATGATCTAATAAACTTTATTTTTTAAAAATGACCATTTTTCCATTGTCTTTCCTAGGAAATTAAACCCTTTAACTCATACCTACCCTCTACATAATGGTTATTGAGTACTCCACAATATATTAAGTCTAGATGTTATGGTACATGCATACACTTTCAGGCTGTTGATTACCCACTGTCACCAATACACATAAATGGAAAAAAGCTATGAAACTGTATAGGGCTGTATATATACTTGTCTCAGCTTCATTAGAGCAGGAAATTGCTGTGATTTCCAGCAGGTTATGTAAGTAATGTCCAGACTGTTCAAAAAAAACTATGAACAGAGTAAAGTACAAGACTGTTTTGAGGAGACTTTCTACTGTGTACTTTAAAACATAGTAAAATTTCTTTCACAAAACTTAGTTACATGGGTACTTTGTTTTATAGTGCATTATAGTCTAGGAAGTCTCATTAAAACACTCGCTTTCTTTCTTTTGTTAGGGTGGTTTGAGTACAGACTATTGCTGGGGCAGGGGAGGAGATTATTCTAACTTCAGAGGACACCAGAAAAATTGCTGGATATAATTTAAGATTAGTGTTTTCTCTTTCATAGAAAGAACGTACATACTGGGACATGAGTACAGTTACAGCAAGTCTAGGTGTGCTAACAAAACAGGACACATTCAAGTACAATAAGGTTTTTTGCTTGAAATTAGAAACAAACTACATGAGATTAAAGCATTAAAATCATATTTCTCAATCTGAATAAATGTTAAAAAATCAAAAGAAATGCAGAAGTGCTAGCTCACATTTTTACCATGTTACAAAAGCAATTGGTACCCATGTCCATAAAGGCAGCAACAAAGAATGCTGCTTGTCTACAGAATAGTACTACTGCAAATTGGACTGCGTTTCAATGCTACTTGTAAAAACACCAGCTCTCAGAAGTTGGTATCTGTACAAAATTGCAGCTTATTTTTCTTCACTTCTGTCCCTTCAAAGTCTTTGTTTACACAGTAATGCTAAAACGCCCAGTTCTGTTATCCTGAGTCAACATATTGCCACTTTCTTTTTTGGTAGGTTGAGCTCCATAGTGTCAACACCTCACACATCCGCTTTAATACAGTCTCTTTCTGCAGAAATGGGCAAGTGTAACTTCCTCCAAAAAAAAAGTTTTAATAGTTATGATATTAGAATGGCAGGACTTTCTTTCTGAAAAAGAATTCAGTTGTGCTGCAATGTATTAGATTCTATAGGTGGAGCAGAGTCATATAGTGTATCTGTATCGTGTGTAGGCTCTCCGGCGAGCGTACAGGGATTGGACAGTGTTCCAGCACCACAGTCACAGAAAAACCTAAAACACAGAGAGACAGCTCTTAGTGGCCATTCCCTCCTGCTCTGGGAGCAGCCCCACGCCCTGGCTGGCAACGTACCTATCATGTCTAATGAATTCTACGTCGTGTCCTTGATGGCACTTCTTGATGCAGTTCACACAGATGGCGTTACGGTCTGTGGTGTTGCAAGTGTGACATCTGGAGGGAAAAGCAGCACGTTAGGCAGGAACCAAAAGGGAAGTGCTCCAGGAGGCTGGAGGGCCTGAAATGCACTGAAGGAAAGAGGGTGCATAGGACTGTAAAGTTTGAGAATTTTACACAAACTTGGGTTTCACAGCACGCTTTTTGTTACTTGTGTCACAAACACAGTCGTGCTGTGCAACCCCTTGGGCTCAGGTTTACAGAAACAATCTGTTTTCCTCAAGCCCAAAGTCAATTCCAGAAGATGGGAACTTGTTAGATCCTCTTCTGTTGCAGCTGAGGGCGAGCACACGTTTGTGTCTTCACTGACACTCAGCAACTGTTCTAAGGGCCTTGCTGGAAAAGAAAGGGGGTTTATTAGAAAGCCTTACTGTAGGTGATGGGAAAGAACCTGTTACCTGTAGAAGTCATGCATCGGGTAGCTGGTGTAGCTTGAGATCTTATATAAACACTGGCCTCTACTGACAGCTTTCTCTATGGCGTCTTGATTGTTCATTATTTTGTTATCTGTTGGGGGAAAAACATACAGAACTAATCACATCTGGATCAATGACTTTTTTTTCCCTTAAGGCACTGAAGCAAAGGGCCCATTAGGAACAGTTCTATACCCGTATTTCAGGTCAGCATTTAAGAATATAAAATCCTCAATGCCCAGAGTGCCATGCACTCCTGAAACAAGAAACTGTTCCTCTTTGCACATGGGGCATGAAATACCTGATAGCCTCCATTTAAATGTGTTTGAAAGCCTTTCATTTACCATAAGGCCTTTTAAGCATCCCTTAAGAAAGAGGAAAAGGATGGCTCTTTCCTCAGAAAAGCTTAGGAATAAGGTACTTTCCAACACAAAGGAAGTGGAAATTAGGTCTGACCAGCTCTAGTACTTCAAGGCACAGTGAATTTGATTCTCTCTGTTACTCAACCACCTGATCTTCCTTCTAGTCCCAAAGTGCACCTCAGAAAGTTTTGCCCACTCCCAGTAGCATCAGAGCACAGAGTGATGCCATCAGGAAGCCCAGGTGCTGGGAAGCAGGGAGCCATAGCTTGTGTTTTACAAGGCGCAAATCATTCATAGGAAAGGGTTTAACAGCTACAGGCAAGTAGGTAAAAATCCTGCAAACAGAACCTTTTGCTTCTTGAATAACCTCCTGAGCTGTCTGGCATTCAGACCATTACTACCATCTCAACCGAGAGGATCCTGTTTCATGCACACTTCCCCACTATACAAGGGAATTTTATATATGTAAATTGTTCATATTTTCTGGAAAAAAAAAGTGTTTGGGATTGTGAATGTTCATACTTTTAGATCCCATTTCTTTACTGGACACTTGTTTTTGGATATGTGAGAAAAATACTTTCCATTGTACCAACTCAGAACTGGACTGTGAGATGGGCCAAAGATAAGGAAACATTTCAGAAGTGCTTATCACAGAATTTTAATATGACAGCAAAACCTTACGTTACCTTTAAAGGCATCTGTCTAAACATCTTAGCACAGTTTAATGTGGCTCATTACCTTCAGCTGAAACTTAGTCACAACTCTGCTTAAGGTGGCAGCAGCTGTGAGCCACAAAGGGTACGATAAACCCAGGACCCAGCACCAAACAAGTGGCCAAACACAAGCCAGGAGGACTTGGGCTCACCTTTCATTGTGACATTGACACCAGATGCTAGAAATAAACCTCCAAAGCGGTTGTTGAAAATCTGATTGCCTTCTAATGTTGCAGTCGCATGATTTGTTATTTCAATACCTTTAGTGGGTCAGGGGAACAAAGGAGAGAAAAAAGTGGTAAAGTTAAATCCCTGGTGGTTGTGCATTTGTTCCTCTTGTAATCAACGGGTTGGTTGGTTGGGTTTTTTTTTTTTTTAAGCTGTCATAAACTCAAGGAGAAGAAAGGAAAATGACATAGCTACAAAACTGCACTGTAATTTGTTTCTGAACTGAGGTTCAAATGCTGCTGTTGAGTCTTTTCAAATAGCTACTGCTGGCATGCATGGTTTCTGGGAGGAACAACACAATAGTGGTTTATCTGATAATAAAATGCTACTATGTTCATGTTTATTTTCAAACGGGATATCTTTTTGGGTGCTAAGAGCTGTCATCTTCGTGTACACTTGAAAGTTCTTGTGCACATACCTTACCATTTAAAAATATATTTTTAAAAAAGTTCTCAAGATGGGCACCTAAAATTCATTTCTTTAATTCTTAGCTTTTATCAGTAACCCGTGTCTTCCAAGTCATTTGTCCGGGACTGCTCTTGACAGCAACCTATCCTTCCCCCCCACCACACTGAAACAACACCTTTAGAGGCTCTTCACAGAAAACTTGCTTCTTCTGAAAGAAAGATGGGAGAAAACTCAAGAATTCAATTTTTGATGAAATGGAATGGAATGCAAGACGTATGAAACTGTGATGATTAAACAGTAAAATTGAAAAAAATCACTGTTAAACATTCTTCATTTCTTTTGGAGCAACAAACGCTCAGCTTTGTGGAGTGAGAAAGTTGAACTTGAGATGCAATTCAAATCTCTTTAAAATGTATATTTGCTCCATTTCCTAGATTTTAAAGCAGTGATAAGATATTCATACCAGCATCCAGCACACCAGCTATTACTAAACTTTACCAATTGCTTCTAAAATAAAATAATGAAAAGTATTTCACAAAAAAAAATAGAAGACAGAATATGTGTCATTTCCCAACATGCTGTAATTCCAAGACTGCTGTAAATACACCCTGACTACAATCCTGAATTCTCAGATGACTTTTAGGATACACTGAAGGATATCCCAGTCTCTCTTAAAACCATGGGGTAAAGAAACTAGAGTAAGCCTTGTTAAGAGCTCACTCCAAGCTTCCAAATTTGATTTAAACAGCACAAACCTGCAGCAAACCCATCGAATATTCGGTTTTTCCTTAGCACAGGGTGGCTATTGGTGCTGATAAGAACACCAGCTTGAGCATTCCTGAAGATATCATTCTCTTCCAGAAGACCTATGACAGACCAACAAATGTTACATTTGAGCTTGGGAGCATTTCCTGACCTGTAACATTTCTGTGAAGTGTTTTCAAAGGATCTTATGTATCCCAATCCTGCTAATAACTCCTTTCATTTGGAGAATATGCACCAGTAGCACTGAGTTGTTCTCAGTGTATCAGTTTGGAAGTGTATTTCTTCAGTACACAGCATGGAATTTGCGATCATAGGCACCACTGAAGAAAACTAAGTCTTTCTGCTTTCCTAAATTTTCTTTGATTTTTCTAATACCTCTCTCTTCTTGTCTTCTAAAATAAGCAGACTGCCAAAGCCAAGCATTTTTTTTTGTTATAGGAAAAGATTACTTTAAAGTGCTGAGTTAAAGCTCACTTAGAGCAAGTGATTATCTACAGAATATCGGAAGCTGATATCAGGACACACAACAGTCAGGGGATTTCAGACAGAGACCATTTCTGAATTTACAAGTATACAAAAGATTCCTTAAACATCTGAGGTTTATTTCCTCCTGAGTCTTGGACACTCTGGCAGAACCTAAACTGCTCAGGTGCATGATTTTGACTACATGATTTGAATCCAACACTGTGTTTCAGGCAAATGGCAAAGCTTACAAGAGCAAACGGGGTAAAAGCACAGTCCTAAGCAGCAATCTAACACTTATCTTGGATGAGATTAATTACCTCTCTGCCTCCCACAGATTTCAGTATTACTAATGTAATTAAGGCTAAAAAGCATTAAGGGTATGTTCGCTATAACTATTTTATCACTTCAGAAGACAAGAGCTGTGTTTCTTAAGAGCACTTTAAAAATAACACTGCTTAAACTGAAATTTAGCTCTTATCCAGAACATTCAGTGAAAAACAGTAAGCGAAAAAGTTACCTCTTCCCCCATTAAATATACAGATGCCTCCATCTCTTCCGTCATGGATTTTATTTCTTCTTAGTGTAGGATTACTGTCTGTTTTAATCCATACACCAGCCATTGCATTATCAAAAATTTCATTGTCTTCTATAAATCCAAGCCCTAAAATTGAAGGAAGGGTGGGGGAAAAAAAGTAAAATAAATGAGAAGATAATATAACACCACAGAACACAAACAATTCTGGATAAACATGAAAAACAAACCTACCAGAATTATAGACAAGAATACCACCGTTCTGACCACCCCAGATCTTGTTGCGTCTAATTTTGGGGTTGCTTCCAGTTCTAGAGTGAAATGTAAGCAAAGAAGTAATTTATAGTCATTTACTATATCCCAAGGCCAGACATCTCAAACACCTCTAAAGAAATGCCCCATGGATCTCACTGCTTAAAAATTTTAGTAAAATATAGTTCTTTCCAAACGTGCAAACATAATTTAGCTTTACAGACTTCAAGAGCCACACATTCCAGTCAATACTCAGGCTGTATTTTGTGGTAACTTTCTTGTAGGTTAAAGCCGAGGATATTCCAACATACTGAAAAAGTTATTTTTATAAACAAAATTACAAGAACAGCTAAAAAGACACAATAGAGCACATAATAAGCTACATCTGTTTTGGCAAAAAATCAGAATAAATGTTACCTTATCTGAACCCCTGAGTACATGTGATTATAGATGTCATTGTCTTCTAACACGCCATGTCCATTGTCATAAAAATAAACTCCAACCTAACACATCAAGAATTATATTATTAGTTCCAAAGTAATGAGACATAAAACCACAAGACTTTATTTTCTGTGGCCCCCTTGTAACTATAGAGCAAAACTCACTTGTTTCCCACTGTGTATTCTGTTTCTTCTCAAGACTGGAGTGCTCCCTGTTGTCACCCAGACTCCAGCCAATGTATTGCTGTAAACTTCGTTTTCCTCAATCACACCTTGTCCTTTTTCATGCTAAATACAAGATGGTTTAAGAGTTAAGAAAACCTGCTAATCACCAATACATTTTTCTCCTGCTGTACCCATCCCTCCCACCCCCGGCTTCCTTACTGTTGCAAAGTAATTCCTTTCCATTTGAGTAAGCTTTTTCACTTTTTTTTTTTTAAATAACAGCATATCATGATTTTGAATATTTGCCATGAAACAAAGAACACCCTGCATGTAAATCATTCTGTTGCAAGGCTCTGCAGTGGTATCTGTAAATGTCTGCTGGCTGTTGGTAGGAGAGGTGCCTCCCTAGTGCTGTGCACTCACATGAAAGCCCTGGCTCAAACCTACACCCAGCTCTGTCCCCCAGATGGACAAAAAGCTGGCATGGCCCTCAAGGTCACCATCCTCACCACACATCTGGGCTAAGAGGTCAAACAACAGTTTTCTCAGTCGGGGAAGAAACTGTTCTGGTTAAATTTACTCAATGAAGAGATGAAGCTGCACACTTGTAGCATTAGCTGGACCTTAGGTAACCTCTGGCAGAAAGACAGACACATATTTCTGAACATCTGGTATTGCTTAAGGGAACCTGACAGCTCTTTCAGTTCAGTTAGCAGAGCCCTTGCACACGCTGGGAATTGTGCTTTATTTCCCACTTTTTCAATACAACAACCGCAATTTCTATCATCCTGAAGACAGTAAAAAAAAACCTTCACTGAGGTTAGTGGTAAACACATTACACTCCAAAAGAGCTGAACAGACTTTTTAAAAAAATGATGACATACTACTGTGAAAACTAAGCTTTTTCAAAAAGCTTTCAACCAAGCAATGATAAAATTCTGTAATCTATCCCATTTAAAATATTTTACTCTATAATAGGAATAATTTAGTGGCATTCAGAAAAGCCTTCATCTTTTAAATGGCACCGGCTTCAGTTGCTTACCATGAACCTGGTTTATAACCTAAGAAGCTCAAGCATTGTAAGCACAAACATTTCACAGAGGTTACTTTTCCCCAACATTTCTAAAACAGAACACAAGTCTGTGCCTGTCCTAGGCTGCACTTACTACATAAATTCCTCCATGTTGACCATCATGAATCTTGTTGTGTCGAACGATGGGACAGCTGTTTGTTCGAATCTGTATTCCTGCTAATGCATTACCTGTCAACAAAAGCATTATTTAATACAATTTACACATTCATTCCTCTTAAAATCAATATGCAGCAAGCAAATCAGCTTACCATAAATGTCATTTCCTTCAATAAGGCCTCTTCCATCACCAAAGATATAAACACCACCTTGATTCCCATTAAAAATTGCATTGCCCCTAAGAAAAAAATCAACATTATGAAGTTAGGCTAATGCACTGTACAATACTACATATATATGTAGTGACCAGGACTGTACCCCATTCAGACTTAAAATGAAGAACCTATGTTCTGTTGTTTTGAGAAAATCCTACCTCTAAGTGCACACACAAATTAAAAATACAGTTCAACTGCAGACAGAAATTTAATTTCTACATATACAGGAGTATTCACAACTCCTCATAATTAAATTAAATTGAAACGCACTTATCCCATCCCCATCAAATCTCTTCTATGTACTAAAGTAATAATGTGGAAAGCAATACCTTATTGTTGGGTCACTGTTTGAGGTAATCCAAACACCTGCAAAATTGTTTGCATAGATTTTGTTCTCTATGAATTGTCCTCTTCCTTTTTCATGCACGTAGATTCCTCCGGTCTGGCCATGATGGATTTCACACCGCACCACTGTTGGGTTGGCATATGCTTTCACTTCAAAGCCTGCTATCCTGTTTCTATGGATGTTGCAGCTTTCAAAATAACCCTTAAGACATAAAACATGCAGCTTCCTGTAAAAGTCCTTGTTAAAATTAAGGTTATTCCCTCCCCCCCTCCCCTTTAAATTCAGTCCTCATCTAAAGAGAAACAGTACCAAAACTGACAACATGTAAGTACTTACATAACTAATTAAAACAACTACTGACACTATATAATTTCATTCTTCCAAAAATAAAATACTGTTTCAGAGACACTGTGTTTGTATTGCTATTTATGACTACTCATGGAATACCAAGAAAAAATGGCAACTCTAGATATAGCACATTGAATAGAACTCAGCATCAGGTTTCCTCAGCAGCTCCTAAGGATCAGACTCCTTTTTAAAGGCCATAAAGCCCACAGGCCAAACACAGAAAGGACAGTGCTATGGAGAAGAATACCTGCTTGTTTTCAGATCAGGAGCTATACACATTTGGCAAAAACACAATTTCTTTAGGAAGAAGTGTGCTAAATATCTTTGAAACAGCTGATCATAATAAATAATATGAATGTGGGAGTTCAGTAATTTTTCCAGGGTTGGACTGGTCTGAGTGGCCAAGTGGTACAATTTGTTCCTTTTTCCCTTTTTTAAAATGGTGCACACTGAGACACTAACAGGAGCAACACACACAACTGTATTTAAACAAGAGCACTATAAACAGTACTGCTATGGGCAGGGGAAAAAAAAGGCCACTGCACAAAGCCATCCCAGGCACGCTTGCCATCCCATGCCAACCGTGGAGCAGCACCATGAAGTGGCTCACCTGAAAATTCATCTAGCAAAATAATTGTTTCCTGCCCAATGATTTCTCCAATTCTACTTCCAGGGCCTTGCTATGTAACTATGTCAGCTCTTTCATAGCATTTTCCTCAATATGGTCGTAGAATATTTTAATATTCAAATTCAACCTATTCTTAAAGTGAACTTTAATGGTATTTCATGCCCATTTTGCCCAACCAGAAGAATAGAAACTAATCTGAAAGACAAGAAGAGTCTCTTACTGGAGATGGTAGACAACCACCAAGTGATGTACTGTAATTTGTGGATGGCTTAGATACAAGCTCCTAAAAGCTCTAACAAAAGACTGTCTCCAGCAGGCACCATTTTTCCTGTAGCCACCTAAGTTAGTTATTTAGCCCTGCTCATCATGAGACTTGTTATACTTGTGCACTAAAAAAACCTCAAAACAAAAATAACAACAAAACTCCAAAAAAAAAAAAAAAAAAAAAAAAACAAACCCAAAAAACCAACCCCAAACCAAAACAAGATCCTCCCCCCACCTCCAAATTCCTGCTGCTGCTCAGAGTAACTGGATTCCATGCTCACATGATCTACTACCAGGAATGTCTCAGGCCTGGAGTTTCTACTACCTATCACGTGGAAGTTACTCAATTTACTGCCTAGGCAGTCAGCACTCTGTTTCACTGTGCTGTGAATTGCTATGGGACTCTATCAAATGCTGACTACAAAAAATTAGAAATACATCCAGTTTAAGGAGGAAATCAAAGCAGAATGCTCTTCTCCCTACTCTGAAGACTGCAGTCAGGAAAGGCAGTGCAGTGGATTAAAGATTCTCCAAAAAAGTACTATCCATGTTCACAGCTTGTCTCCTCAAGACTCTTCTGGGTAACAAAGTCAAATGGAAGACGCTTACTTTCTGTGGATATTCAAAGTGTGTTTTTTTCAATAACTTTGAAGAAATACAATCCTAAGTGAGTCAAGTTGGTTTCAGAGTTCTCAAGGAAGCTACACACTAACAGACAGGGGAATCCAAAGATCTCCTCAGAAACACAGCTTCACAGCAACAGGCAGTCTTTTGACTTTTTATCCTGAAAGGAGTCAATTTTTTCCCCCTAATTTTCACTTAAAATGAAGCCTTCAGAGAAACTTACCTAAAATGACAGTTTGGTATATAAAGACAAGCCTGATTCTCCTGATGGAATACATAATTTCAATTAAAATATTACTGAACATGGTCTGACATATTTTTAATTACTTCACACATTATTCTCCGAGTGCCAAGTATGTTTTTGACTACAGCGCCATGATGAAAGAAGAGGGGTATTTCAGGTGTGCTTCATCACCCATGAAATGGATTCCAGGTAGAAGTTGCAAACAGAGCCTTTCTCATGTAGCCAGCAGGATCTCCACAAGCTTCAGCAAGCACCAGTATTTGACTTGAAAAATGCTGGACTGCTGATTCAGAAGAAAGTGGGAATTTGCTGTAAGGCTCTGTGAAGGAAATGCTCCTCCAAGGCGTGAGAAGAAAATGAAATAAATCTGCATCTCAGATTCCTTTATAAGCCTGACTAGTGCATTGGAAAGTCAAGGCTTTCTGCTGAGTAAGATGTAACATTCAATATCCATAAAGAGAACCCTGCATTAAAGAGCCCAGTCCACCCTGATCAGTCAGCTTAAGCTGAAGGGCTGGCTTTGGGTTGATGCAGTTATTCTGCATCTGCTGAGACCAAGTCTGACCATTAGCTGTGTGCATCACTGTTAACTCGAGTCAGCTAAACCAAAAGAGCTGCTGTTCGTCAGAAACACAGGCTCTTCCACCATTCTGAGCAACCACCTCATCCCAGACTTCCTATTTCTGATGCCATTGTTTCCTATGACATTCTCTCTTGATACCAACATCTTTTTTTGGCTCCAATTCACCTCCTAGAAAGGGCTAATACTGACTTTAGGCTTTAAAATGCCCCCAGGCAATCCCTGGTATCTCTTCAGCCACCAGAGCCACACCCCTTGAAAGAGGCAATCCTGTGCCTTTGAATTACAACCTCTCTGAGAGAGGTGATGAACTTGTGGATCCCAAAAAAACACATATGGCTTCAGGCGACATTTTGTCTTTGGAAAGTTAGCGAGTATTTTTTTAAAATAAAAAACTGTGTTTCCAAGTATGGAGTTCCACGACCTATCCACAGGGTCCACCAACACGGCTAACACAAAGCTTACTGCCAGCTCCAGCTCTAACAAGTTAGCACAGACCAGACACAGCTGATCCTCTCAGAACACTCGAGCTGCCCAACCCTTATGCTCTGTCTAGCTGTTGGGCAGCTCAAGCCCAGATCCTTTAGGGAGACTCTGCCAGGCAGCTATTGAGGTCAGGAAGGTCAACACCCCTCCTCTGCACAGAGGGACTGCAAGCCTTATATTGCCTCTACCTCCTTCTAAGAATGGCTTTCAAGTGTGCTAGGTGTTTGACTTGGACTTTGTGGGGGTTTCTGGTCATGATTCAACAGCTAACAGAAGAAGAACCTGGAGGGGACAGCACCTGACAGTGCCAGGATTGCTAAGCAAAAAGAGGCCTCTATGGTTAATAAAAAGGAATAAAGGATGCGTGTGGAAAAAGTATTACAATCTTACATAAAACTACCAGGTAGCTTTCTGCTGAAAATCCTGAATATTAAAAAGCAGCTCTAAACATCAAATTTATTTACAATCCCAGGCAGAGCATTAGCTGTGGACACAAAATGACAGCTACACTGACAGCACGTGTGGACAAGAACACTGCTGCAGCCTGGTAAGATCTGAGCAGGTAAAGGAATCAGAAACAAACACTACAGCAATGATAATGCTGATATTCCCATCTGGCACACACTGTACAGAAAAAGATGTGATCACAAAGACGGGATCCTGCACAGCTAGAAAAACTTAGAAGACTTTTTACATCACGACTAACCCAGTAATTGAACTTGGATGCTTTTTTCTTTTTTCATGTTGTCTAGTCTAACAAGCATGGCTTTAGAATGCTTTAGAGTTAAAACTTTAAACTGATGAGATTTTGTTGCTGCTTTTCTTCTCAGAGGATTTCTCCCCCCATTATTTCTAAAAGGGCTTTCTTTTCTTTCTCTGTTTTGAAGATTACAATATTACAGAAACACAGAGGCATTTCATATTACTATTTGAACAACACATGTATTAATAGAAAAAAGATAGGCTTATGTAAGATTTAACATTATCCAAATATTTATTGACTCTGGTATTCCCAATAGGGTAGGAAAAAAAAACCCAAACCAAAAAAATAGACAACAGGAAACCAATATAGAAAAAGAGTAACTGCCAATGCCTATAAAAATTTGCCTTCCAAACGCTCGAAGGGTCCTTATTTGAGAGTTAGTGCATTTTATGAAAATTCAAATGCAACATAAAGAAAATCACATCCAAGATGCGAAACAAACCCTTTATTTTTATGCACAGCAAAAGGCAAATTGAATTTTTAATGTAGTATGTATAGCATCTGGCATATGCTTAATTTTTTTTTTTTTACTTTATATACACATTTCTTTAAAATGATCTGATTTGTAGTATTTAGAAGACAGAGATGTAAACTAGTCATGATCACCCAACTTAGACACATGCTGCTAACACTTTTATTTCATCAGAAAGAAACCCCCCCAAGCTTCTCATTTGGGAGCAATGAAAATGAAAACTGTTTTGCCTAGAGCTCAGATTTAAACTGTAAAATTATGCTTATTCTTACATTAAATTGGAATGTCTCCGTTGTTTGTGTAAAAGTACAAAATAGAATTTATGACAGATGCCTGGTAACCCATCCAGGCACCTGAGAGGTCAGGGTAAGGCACCCAGGGCTGTCAATGCCATGCTGCATTCTTAATGCCAGCTTGTTAGATATTTGTCACAGCACTAAGGCAAACATCAGGATATTGCCAGTTCAGAAATAAGAGGTTAAGTTTCTACAAGTATCAAAACACAAAGAACAGTCTGAGAACATGAAACTGAAAAACAAAGCACTCTTGAACCTTTTGGAGACAGCACTCCAGCACAGAAACCCACGGGAAAAGAACGTGTAGGGTAGGAATTCAGCACTGGAATGCACTTATCCCACTTCACAGTCACAAGCAATATAAAAAAAGTTACAGAAAGTAACAGAAGTGAGAAAAGCAAAAACATAAAATCCATTAATTTGTTTAGGAATATAGGATTTGTATCTGAGGGATACCATGTCACTTTGTCACTTAACGATCATATAAACACTGCCAATGATGTAATTTCATTGACTCTATCACTAGACATGATGCAAAATAGAATATGCTGCCAAAGCAGACTTTGAGACATGCGGGAACTGAATCTTTCAAAGGAGTTTATGACTATGAAATATTTCAATAATATTTGCAGCTGAGATAAATATTACTCACACATTCCCTTTAATGTGCTACTTTTTCCCTTAAACAAAAGAGAAACATTTATTTCTATTCCATTTTGCTTGTGATACTACACTGATCATAGCTCTAAAACAGGCATTTCATCGGCAAGAAAGAAGATCAAATACACTTTTATTTAAAATTAATCAAGTGAATTCAGCCTGGCTTTTACATTTTTTTTTAATACTTCAGTACTCATATATTTAATATTTATACTTCAGTACTTAAACAAGAAGCAGCTCCTACCCAGAGTTTCCAATTAACGCTCAAGCCTACACACAGACACCTCCCCTGCAGGAGCTGCTGAAGCACTTTCCTTTACCAGTTTTTCTAGAGCTGAAATCACTTCATTCTGTGTTTCCAAGCCTGTTTAAGTCTTGAAGGGATGTATGGATATATGTACTACCCACTGAAGTAGATTAGAAGTGCTTGTACAGTATGTTAACACAGCTTCATGCAGTCCAAACAATGAGATAATATAAACCAAAGACATCTGCCACCACTCTTTGCAAACCAGCCAAACATCATTCTACAGAACAGAAAATGATGTAAAGCCATCCATCAGAAGAGGGCTGCCAACAGGGCATTCTCAGCTGGTGCAATCTTGCCCAATACAAAAGAAGTATGGTCCTTAGGATGTAACTATTAGAGTGGAGAAGAGGCACCTACCAGCAGAATCCCAACATGTTTCACCTTCCACTGCAAGATTTTATGCCAGCAGTAAGAATAGCTGCATCCCTGTGACCTGTTTGCCTTCTATTGAAACCAGAAAACCACAAATCCAACAGCTACAACTAGCATTGCCTCAATTCTTTATCTCTGCCTGCCCAGCAACCTGGACAAAAAGGAGAAATGCCTCACTAGATTCTATCCACAGTGGATTTCCTGTTAATGCTATTTCTAATCTGCCAACTCTCATCAAAAACCTGAATAGGTCTGGGTTAGAACTTGCTGAAGGTGCACTTGATCCCACTGTCTGTATCACTGATGAATGGTACTGGTCCCAGTACAGACCACTGAGGGAGATGATTTAGCCACTGGCATCTGCCTTCTGGATGCAACTATCCAAACAATTCCTCATCCACTGAACAGTCTATCCATCAAATCCACATCTTTACCATTTAGGGAGAAGGATGTTGTAGGGGAATGTGTCAAGGCCTTACAGGAGTCCACATAAATGACATCCATATCCCTTCCTTTCTCCACTGATGCAGTCACTCCATCACAGGTGGTCACTGGATAGGTCAGGCAGGATTTGTCCCTGGTGAAGCCATGTTGGCTTCACCAAGTCACCTCCTTGTTCCTCTATGAGCCTTAGCACAACTTCCAGAAGGATCTGTTCTATGATCTCCCCAGGCACAGAGGTGAGGCTGACAGGTTGGTACCTGCCAGGGTCCTCCTTTCTGCCCTTTAATAAAAATGGGTGCAATGTTTCCCTTTTCCCAGTCACCAGGGATTTCACCTGACTGCCATGACTTTTGAAATGTCATGGAGAGTAGCTTGGCACCTACATCAGCCAATATGTGATCTTCTCCTATGGTGGGAGTGACTTTGCTCTCACCGTCCCTGCCCTGAGGTCCATGCAATAAAGAGGTGTGGGAAGACAGACTGCTAGCAAAAACTGAGGCAAAATGTTGTTGAGTACCTCAGCCTCCTCCTCATTTCTTGTCACCGCTGTTGCTCATGGCGGGGGGGGCGGGGGGATGTGATGTGCTTTGTTTTTTTGCCTTTCCTTTTCTGAAAGACATCCCTGTAGAAGCCTTTCCTGTCATTCCTTGCATGCCTTGCCAAGTTCAGGTCCATTCACGCCCTGGCCTTGCTGACCTCATCCCTACACAATTGGACAGTGTCTCTGAGCTCTTCCCAGGTCACCTGTCCCTGCTTCCACTGCCTGTGCATTTCCTTCTTGCCCTTTAGTCTCAACCCAAGAGGTCTCTTGCCTTTCTTTCCTGATTCCTTATACCTGGGGATTAAGAGCTTTTGCACCCTAAGGAAAGAATCCTTAGAGATCTGCCATTTTAAGAGTGACTAAAAGAAAACTGTTGTTTTGCCAGCTGGGCGTGGGGAATTGGGACTTTGTCATTCAAGCAAGAAAAACAATGATTTGGCACTCTTTGTAAGATATGCAGAATATTTTCCTAAAACAAATCAGCAAATCATCTTTTATTTCAGTGACAAAAATCTATTCTACTTCAAGGGCTACAAATATAACTTCTCACTCCTGTACACGTACTTGGAAGTGATGAGCTTCACCCCACACAGATAAACATATTTATGAAAGAAGGCATGAATTCTGATATGAAATTCTGTGTTAAAATTCCACATCTAATTCCCTGCTATAAAAGTCCTCTTCCCAGAGAAGGTGTACATACCCTGTTTCAGAGTTTTAATATTAAAATAAGGCTAAGTCTCCACAAAGCATTTAAAAAAAATTCTAAATCATCCAGCACCTTATTTTTTTCCATTTCAAAGGGAAAAGAATGAAGTATAAATGTAAGCCTACCGTTTACATCCTATTTCAAGAGGTACTTTGTCACTGCAACATAATACAATGTAACAGGCTGCCAATCAATTGCAAAAAGCTTGCTTAAACCTCTTTCAGCTAAAATAATCTTTGAAGTCTCCCACTTAAGGGCAAGAGAACAGAAGGCATATTTAAAGTATATGCTCATGAGTAAATGCACGTTTTAAAAAACACATTTCTCCAATGCCAGGCAAAATTTGAAGACTTCAGTTCTACAACATCTGTATTTCTTTCTTCAAAAGAAAACATATAGGTTACCATTCCATGGTCAAAAGTGAAAACGCCAACGTCACGTCCATGGTGAATGTGATTCCGTCTGATAATGGGATTTCCGTGGTTCTTAACCCAAATCCCTGCTAACGCATTATTGGATATCTCATTGTCCTCATATATTCCCTGTGAAATAAAAATGTACATCAAGACAGGAATCAAGAACAGTAAACAACTTTATGAAAGTAAAGAAATTAATGTGGAAAATTACCTGTGCATGGTCTGTAATATAAAGTCCAACATTTTCACAGTCGCTGATGTTACAGTGTTTAATAGTAGGACAAGCTCCCTGGCCACTAACACATACCGCAGAGCCAACTGGAAGAAAACAGTACAGTTACCATAGCTTCAAAGCACAGTGTATTTATAAATAGTCTGGCAGTGCTTTTGCAAGAAAAGTTAGTGTGAACTGATATTTAAAAAAGATTTGGTGTGCACAGAGCCAAAGCATTGCAAGCCACTGGCAGAAAAACACTAATGTCATCATTTTGCAGATGCAAAAACCATGGTAGGAGGCGCTTTAAAATCACCCTGCCAAGGTTAAACAGCTGCCAGGACAATGGTTTATATAATAAATGAAAGTTCTCACTCATTTATTTCCCTGTGTTAGGCCTACTGTATACTGACTGTTCACAGCAGAGGACAACAGAAATCTAACAAAATTCTCTGTTAATTACAGCCTTGTTTTGCTTCCCTTTAAATTTTCACAACTCAGTACTTCAAAGAGGCCAAACAATAATTTTGTTGCATACAAAGACACACTGTCCATCCAATATTCAGCAGGACACAGATGCACAATCTGGAGTACAGAATAAACATCAGAAACCAACAGGTCTTTCCCCAGCTGAATTACAAAACTTCTTTAATTATTTCAGCTACCATACCATAACCCAGAAAATAAATATTTTCCAGGAAACTAGGACACAAACTTTTCAGGACTTCAGCAGATCAGCTCAATTCCCTTAACTCCATGAGGCGTGACACCATGAAATTCTGTGACCACTAAAATCAACAATTATTTCTGAAAGGTAAGAGCTCATCTCAGGGAACCTGGCCTATGTAACACATTCCCCACAATTAAACATCACTAAATAAGCAAGCCAGTACCTGCTCTGCTAGTCAGTTTTCATATATCCTTCTAGCAAAGCACCACAAAAACTATGCTTAAATAATTCACAGACTCATTTACAGAGAGATTTTTTTTTAATTCCTAAAGAAATTATTTTGATTGTCTACTCTGACCTTATGAATAATACAGGCTATACTAATTCCCTAAATTAAGTCCTGCTTCAATTCTAGTAGCAGGAACTTCAGTACATATCTTGTAGAAACATATTTATTTATGATTTCTAGCAACTGAGAAACCAGCATAAAGCTTGTTAGCTGGCTTGAGGGCTGCTGTCCTTTTAATTTACACTTTAATTGCTCATCTGAATTCCTCCAGCTTTGGCACCCAGTTCTCTTTGTACCAGTGTCTGCCATACCCAATACATGCACATGTTCAGTGCAAGCAATTTGCTCCTTCAGCTTTCTCCTTGATAAAGTAACAAACTGCAGTCACTGTGTTGTTCACTACAACCGAAGTTTTCTGCTTTACCTTATATGACTTTTCACTGAACAGTTTCTGAATTTTCCAACATGTTGCTATGGACACCAGAAAAGAGCACTTTATTCTGAAGCAGGACTAAGCAGAGGCATTAACAGTCTCTACTTCTACTAGGTATTCCCACAGGTGTAACTAAGGATCACATCAGTTCTTTTGGCCACTCAACTACATGAGGGCTCATATTTAGCAGTTTATCCACAGTGACTCTTTAAGCTTTCCTCAGCTTTCCAGGAGAGAGGTTTAGCACTCAGAAATAGGAACAAAAGCAAGTTGCGTGTTTAACTCTGCATTTTATCAGACTAATGGGAGTGGTGTTTGACAGCCCACCTACTACCAGGAAGGTCATAGCAACCCATCCTCCTGGTTATTTTTAAGACAGTAGTTATATTACATTCCTATTGCATCTATAATACTCTGTAGTAAAGTCCTCATTGTCTACAGGTCTCATTAATGTGACCTTATTTCTTCTCTGCAAGTCAAGAAGTTATTTCATTTTTGAAATAACTACAAAAAATAAAAAGCCATCACAGCTACCCTGAAAGTTATTTTTCGCCTATTTCGTGTAGGCACTGGGTGTTCTGTAGAACTCTAATATTTTAAGGCACTACGTATTGATGTCAAACATTTTTCAAGGATCTGTGTAATTCTACTGGGACTGCTGCCTTCTTGTGATCAAAGAAAGTAATCACAAATGCCAACAGTGTAATGCAACCATTATAACTTTTTGTAAATACACACAAATTTGATTCATCATAAATTTTAAATTCTTGATTGACCAAACCCCTGCATTTATACCTCACTGTTCTACCCAGGATCAACAGGCAGTACTCTTGTCATACTTCCTTCTGTGTAGCCTCTCCCCTGCCACCTCCCCCAGAGACAAAGACCACCTCATCGAGGCTTCAAGTTACCTTGATACACTATAGGAAGCCAGAGAATTTCTTGGCCAGTTCTTTCTAAACTCCTGCATGATTTTAGAATGTCTATTTTTACAGCTGTTTAACCTCATCCACAGTTACTATCAAGAGTGGAACGTGTTTCATTATCCCTCTAGGGGATGAGGGCATTTATCATTCCTGCCTATTCTCATTAAATATGAAACAAAAATTACACAACACTTTGCCATTCAAATTTTTCCATTCTATGATGGAGCAGCATCACTGCTACAACTCCCTTTGCTCCCCTGATTAAGACACAAGCACTGTCTCTTCTAGACAGATGTTGCATCTTGTCTTGTTTATCAAGTTCTTTGTAACAGTAAAGTGGTGTGTTTTGATTTTGGAGGGAGGTGCCCGCAGTTTCCTTCAATTCCTAATGTCCTATTTGTATGAACTGTTAATAACGTCTTTCTTGTATTTCATAATTCCTTCCATTCCCCTTCCTCTATCTCTTTTTGTGAGACTGAGGAGCTATGGATTTTTGGAACACAGTGTGATGTTCTAAAAGCATATCTCTATCACATTTTGCTTATTGAAATGAAAGTCATCTTTATTCTGACTCACTTCACTGGACTTGGACATTGATTGTGTGAAACTGGTCCTTTTGGAGTAGAAAGCCCATGCAGCACTGGTTTAAGCTTTATTTTGTTTACTCAGAATATAACGATTGCACACACTTTAGCAATATTAATTTTTTTTTTAAAAGGAACATGGCCTTCCACTACTAGTCACTGAGGCGAGGACTAACACACAGATTTCTTCCACAATGGATGCAACAGAACCTCCAGACTCAGGATCTTGCCTTTTAAACTTTATTTGAAAATATTTTAAAAAATGCTCTGGACTGGCAGCAGGAACCTCCAGCTTAATTCACTTGCACTTATATAGCTCCATCTTGACATATGCCATACATTAAGAATTTTACACGTGCCATAATGTAGAAATATGCTTTAATGCAACTTGGAGATCTCCAGTTAGTTTATCAAGCATGTGCTAGGAAAGAGGTTTTGAATGCCTATGGATCAATACTTCAGAGATGTCAATTATCTGGAAACAGCAAATGCATTTTCTGGCAGACTGCCATTCTTCCTCCCTTTTTATACAAACTCAGTACTTCCTGAGTAAGCAGTAGTAAGGCTTGGCAGGATTAAAAAGCCAGTTAAACCTGATAATCGATAAGTGATGATAGTATAGCCTACACACAGCCTCCAAAATGGACCAGAAATTTTAATTTTGGAGAAGACAAACAATTCAATGCAGCAAACATTCAGAAATCCAGAGTCTTCGAGGGAGCAAAACTTCAAAATTCTCAGAAATTGAAAGTAATAATGAAAAAAAAAAATCAAAACTTAATTTTCATAAACAACTTTCACAAAAATATCAGGATCTAGTGGCTTATAGATAAGCATGTTTCAATATGAAGTCATGCAGCTCTTCAAACTACTTTAATAATCAAGCTGAACATGGTCTTATCTCATTACTCCCACTGGTTGTCAGGGTCCCCAGTATTGGTATATGGTAAGTTCCAGAACACCTTTTCTTCGTATACTTCAATTTCCCAGTATTAGCATTAACACTGAGATAACTGGGATACTGGGAGCACCTCACTGTCCTTTGCTCCTCTTTTGTCATTTTTAACACTTCCAAGTATTCGCTGATGTGTCTCCAATAAAAGAGATGGTGATGCAAAGCACAGAGCTGCAAAGCATAGAACTGCCTAGACCAAGTGCAGTCGTTTACAGCCCAAAACCTTCCAGAAAGTGCATCTTCCTCTAGAAGGCACATACCAGGAATCCTTCCACCATTCTCATCGTGGTTCCCTGCAGTATTCTTCACAGGCAGTACCAGAAAAATGTAGGTTTTATCTTTAGCGGGAAGAACTCTTCTTTTTCCTTGCCTTTACGTTGAGCTGAGCAACCTCCATGCACAGCAGCCTGCTGCACAGATCCATTCCCTCTCCCTAGCTGACCTTGTGGAAGTTTATATGGCCATTTCCACACGAATACTCACTATCTTAATTCTCCTGAACCTCTTCTTTCTGACACTCCACTCCACTTAATCTGGCTGTGTTCAAAAATGTTCAACTTGCCGTGTCTTGTATCTAGTGATTGCAAACAGTCATGTCTTCCTGCCGGTGACTAAACTGCAATCCAGCTCTTCACTTCCAGACACTGACCCCTGCTTTCCTCAATCTAGACTACTGATTTTTCCCAAATCAGGCAGTACAAATTCCTCGTTGTCTCTGATGGTGAAATGAGTCTTTCAACACTTATGCCTTTAGAGCTACTACTCATCCTCTGAATATGTCAAATCATTCGACTTGGAAGTGAGCTCAGCTTAGCAGTTACATCTTGTGATGTTTAATGCCATCAATACCAATACTGAATATCACAACAAACCAAATGAACAAGGGTGTAACCATGTGTAACCTTTCAAATGCCCCATCCTGCCAGCTACAACTAACCACCAAATCCAGGTATGATTATATGACTGTCACTTCTCAATTTCAAACCAACTGCCCAAAGAGTCCAAACAGATTCAAACAGAAAACCAAGTACACAGAGGTTTTGGACACAAAGAGGTCACTCTAATAGTGATGCTCCAAGGCAATTAAGGCTTGCAGACCTGAATTGAATATCTGCACCTAAAAATAAAAATATGCCAGCAGTAATCATACCCAATTTGTTGTGTTTCTTCAAACAATAAAAAGCCCACTAACCTGTACAAGTACTTCGAATAATACAATGATCTATAATTGGACTGCAGTTCACGGTAATCTCTAAGCAGTGGTGCGCATTGTGGTGCTGAGCAGATTTGTCATCAGGGTTGAACTGAAAAGGAAGAAAACAGAAATGTTGTATTTAACTGCTCAGGCATTAAAATAAATTTTTTTAAAGATCTGCTTAAGGGTGAGAGTCTTACCCTGATTGTCATATATCCAACATAGGCATCTTCAGAACCTTCCATAAAAACGAAGGTGGAATCTCTAGTGTTTTCTATTATAACTTTATCTGCTACTTTTCCAGGTGCTGCAAAGAAAACAATTAGTTAGTCTCAGTTTATGCTGCTGAAAAAAAAATCCTCCAAATACTTACAGAATTCTGTTCAAAGCAACAAAGGAAAATTAACACTATTGCTGGCATATAAATAGTCTTCCTGCCAAAAGGATCTTTAGAAAGGAAGTTTCAAAGACAATGAAGAAACTAGTCTTTAACTAAGACAATCTGGCACCTATTTAGTAACATCTAGTACCGTGAGAAAAACCTCCTCAAAAAACCTTACAGAGCTAGTTTTTGACTACTACTTACAATGAACTGAGTAAACAGATCAAACATGGGTACCAGGCTAGAGGCAGTTTAACTCTGCTCCAAGTACAATTTCTTCTGGTATTCCAAACCCTTTTATTAATGCTAAAAACATACATCTCATCACTGACATGAACCGTTATTTACTAATCTATTAATGACCTACCCACACTTCTCCAATGTAGGATTCCGAGTTTTGAATTGATATCCTCATTATTCTTTATGGGAAAAAAAAAAAATCTTTCTGAATTAGATTTAACTATCCTACTGGCAGTGTGTACAGGAAGTTACAAAGTGGTACACTTGCAAAATGCCATAACTTGTCATTTGATTTCCAGTGTTACCAGCAAGGCTCTGCTCGATTATTTACCCTTAATCCAAAAGCAGGTGATGTTTATGTTGGGATGGCATGAGCCAGCAGAGGGAGCACCAGTTAACCTCAGCCACCCACTGGAATAAATTCAAAGACACTCATTCACAAGCATGATCGTTTGTCTGATTGAAACCTGCACACTAAACATGCAAGCCAGAAGCAGCCTTCCCTCAACACACCAAATATAAAGGTGGAAGGTCCACGTACTATAGCAGATAACTTATCTGATATCATTTTAAACCATTCCCAACTCAACACAAACACGAGCGGGTGTTTGTCCTAAATTTTGTATTTTATTGAAAAGCCTACGCACAGGATTCCTCATGAGCAGATCCTTTTCTGTTGTCTGTTGACATTAGTACAGACAAGCAGTATGTCCTGTTCTTTATCACTCTGGCAGAAAGATGTCAGTCAGAATGAAGCAACATTTACATTATTATCCAGCTTGTTCTCACTATCTAAAAGCCCAATCTCTGCTTTCATTACTGCAGAGCTGCAAATATTTTAAGGTAGACTGGCTCTCCTCTACACCACTATTCACTTAGTACTAGATAACAACTAAAAGAGACTTTGATGAGGAGTTGTGTCACCATACAAAACATATTTATGTCTTTTCAAGATTCACCACGACACAGTGGCATAAACAAATCTGTGTGTTTCAGCACATGAAAAGGAACAGCACCACAGTACTGCAGGTGAACCAAACTCAGGAAATAAACGGAGCACCTACGAGGATATGAGAGCCATAAATCAGTATCAAAACTTTCAGGGTGGCACAGAAAAATTGCACTTCACACTGGATGCTCAGCAACACTGTTAAACAGAGGTTTGTGGAATTGTTTGCAAAGCACTTGGATCATGTTCTCTAAGGACACCTTGCTCTCATCACACGAGTTTCTCCTACACAAGTAGTAACTTGCAAGTTGGGATGGTCCCAGAACGCCCATCATGGAACACTGCAGTTAATAAGATCACTGCACTTAGATTTCCCTGGGAAAATAGTGAAGACTTCCTTAAGCATTAGTTTTATTCCAAATGCACCAATGAAATTCTCTGCAACATTCTACTGAATCTTCACAAAATCATCATTCAGTAGAAATATCTCTATTTCAGCTTTTGGCTTAGACCATTTTAGAATAAAGAAACCAGTATTAGAATTGGAAATGGAAGAAAAGGGCCACTAAATTTGTAATCAAACAAAACACAGCTCCCAAGAAGTCAGTTTGCTGGAACCTAAGGGAGTCATGCTCCCCAGGATCAGAATTCATGATCAGCTTAAGGACCACGGATAGACCATTTAGAAATAACGGAACGGAAAGCCTACCGTAAGGGACTGTCTAAAGAAATGTAAATTAACTGGATATTGCCTCAGAATTATTTAATCCCTTATAAGGAATAAAACAATTTCACTTTTCCCTGCATTAGAAGACAAAAAATCACTACCTTCTGCAGGGACTGTGATCCTGTCCAATTGTACCAAGCAAAAACCAGATACTCCTTTAGATCTTATAGTCTACAAGATGTAAACCACAAAGGTCTAAACTGGTCCAAAATAAAGCTTTCAATTCAAAGATGCAGAATGGGTATTTGAAGAAGAACTCAAGCATGTGAAAGTACTCTTGCACTCCTAAGAAAAAATACCCTAGTATAATAGTTTTCCTACCATTTAAAATTTTCTACCCTTAAAATGACAACAACCATTCTCACTGGTTTCACTATTTTTTTCTTGCTGAAGGATCTTTTGATAATCCATTTTCACTTGCTTACACATTATTTAAGCCAAATGGAAAATAAAGGGAAAAAAATGAAAACCGTAGCTCTGAAAATACACATTCAGTGAAGATTCTCAGATCAGGACATGTCTGTAGAACTGCTGAAACTCAACAACTGGGAGATTTTGTATCTTGAGTGAGATGAGCACCCCATCAAAGGCTCCTATTCCTGCAGCACACACACCCTCCTCCTTCCAACCCTGGAAAATAGAATTCTTTTTAAAACTTAAGAGGTATTTCTCTCTACTGAACCAGATGCAACAGTTTCCTTACAAAACCTCTCCTCTTGCTTCTTTCTTGGCAATTCAGGTATGCCAGAGCACTAGTAATATGTCCAAAGCCTTCCTTCTGAACCAACTCATTCCCTCCGATTCAGGGGAAGAAATGATGCCAAAATTAAACAGATCGAAAAACTCAGAACACCAGGCATTATTCTATTAGCACATTTTGCTTATGTGACAAAGTGGAAGCTTCTTGCAAATTCAAGGTATGTTAAGCTGCCTTTCTAATAATGTTGTGCTTCTTCTGAAGCCAGAAGAATAAACTAGTAAAGAAATTTGAGTAGAAATGCAGAGATTTGGTGCTGCCTTAATTCTACCATTCTGAAAAGCATGCCAGACTGAACAGAGAAGAGGTAGTTCTCCAAGGCTTAGTGGTTCACTTTAATTTGTTTTCTTTTCCAGTCAAATGAAAATTGACTCTCTCTACAATGTCACTCATCATTCAGTGGAGAAAGTCTGAGGAAGTGAAGTCAGCAGTGCCAAAAACTGAAATATAAATACATCTAGCATTGCTGGACTCCTCTTGGAGGTTTTTTTCCCCAAGACAACTATTCTGTTACAAAAACACACAATAAAGCTCTCTGGCTTTTAAAGGACTGTACTTAAGATAACTTTTTCTGAGTAACTTACATTAACTCCAGAGGAAGGGAAAGCAGATGGCTTTTCAAAACTTAAAGGAGACAGAGAACATGCAGAAGTTTACCCAGATATCCAAGATATCATTTCAAATGTCATGAAGTGACTGAGAAATTTTGTATCTTAGGACAGTGCTGATCTGGCTTCTCTGGATTTTAAACATTTCAGGAATATGACTTGCCCTATTTGTACTGTCATCCTCTCTTCTGTGAGACAGAAGCCGGCGGGTTGCCAGCAGCCATGTCTCCATTAGCAAGCACTGCAGCCCAACACAGGAGTGGTACCACAGAGGGAAGCAGTGCTGAGGATCAGCCACCTCCAGCACACACTGCAGCACAGGGAGGGGGGAGGAGACTGACTTTGCACTAGTCCTCGCCAGGTCCCTCTGACTGAATACACACTGGCTACTGAAGGGCAGTAAGAGTATTCCAGGAACATGTCTCTTAAATTAGTCTCATCCAAAAGGAATCCAGTTTGTGCTCCAAAAGCTCTCCACAACACAAACCAAAGCATTCGAAGTGGGCATGTTCAGAATGTTAGTTCTAGAAATGTAGTCACAAACTGACAAACTCACATACTAACACAGCCACATCTCGCAGATCTGTGGGGACAATTTTTCAGAATAACACTGGAACAATCTGGCTGCATTGCTCAAAACCATTCTCCCTGCCAAGGCTGCAAAACTCAGGCAAGAAGTGCCAGAAGAGTCTTACTCAAGAGCAAAACAGCTGGTATGGAGAACAGATAAATATCTGAAAAGAGAGACTTTCCAAGAGGAACTTCGCAAAATGAACAACATATAGGTAGGAAACATATCCACCAAAACAAACAAACCCCCCCACCCTTACAAACAAAACAAAAAACCCCCAAACCCACCACCCTCAATAAAACCCACAACACAGTAAACCCAACCAATCCAGAGAAACAAACACAAACAGCAGGTAATTCATTTCTGGATCACCACAGGAGCAAGAGGTCTGAGACCCCTTAACCAAAAACTCTATCAGACAGTAATACAACCTGAATTCCTACCTAGTTATCATGCTACTGGGAATTAGCATGCTCCTAGTAGTGACAGGAAAAGCAAGTAGCTCCACAAGTACCATAATTTGCAGCCTGGTATATTATATTACCTTCCTAAACCCTTCCTATTCTCCAAGTCTTATTTCCTTCTGCATAAAGGTTCCTGTCCAGAGGAACAGTTGGAAGAGAACAGAAGAACTTCCAGTCTCAGAATCCTTCTGCTGGATGGTCTCATATCCTTCCTCAAGATGGAATTATGATACTGAAGAAAATGGGACAGATACTAATTTGAGCTTGTTCCCACTGCTGGTTTCTATCTGGAGATAGGTTTTATATATATGTATGAATGTAAAAATTTCAACTGCAGTCCTATATAACTGAATAAGCATTCTGACAAATTCCATTTTTTTCTCCTAACGAAATAAAAAGATAAGTTATTCCAAGAACTGGCAAGCAGACAACAGCACTTCAATATGAAGCATAAGCTACTTTTGAGTTAGTGACACTTGTACAAAAACCACTTATTTGCTAGGCAGATGAAGAAAGATGGGCATTTACACTGGGTATTTAATACATCTGAGTATCATGGTAATTAAGGCAGTAATTAACACAAGTTTGAGACAGTGATGCTCCTAGTTTACATACCTGCACCAATCATGGTGATTGGAGATTCTATATATATCCATTCATCAGTATATATACCAGAGTGAACAAAGATAAGTCCATCAAAATGAGCTTCTTGAACTCCACCAAGAGCATCCTCAATGGTATCATAATACTAGAAGAAAAGGAGCAAATTTAGAGTAATGTCCATTTCCATTTATAGATATATAAATAATTTTAAGAACTGCTTTAAAACATACCAACATGTTTTCTCTTCCTTTGTATCTTGCAGGATTACTGTAGAAGTGTTCAGCAAAACCTGGCTTTACATGTGCTCCTTTGTACTGAAAAAAAAAAAAAAAGGAAGAGAGTTTGTGATAGGTGGGACTGAATGTACTGACAGGAGATCTACTAATTCCCTAACTAACAGGCCATTTGCTGATATCAGTTTGTCCCAGGAAGTAAGGATCATATACTGACCTCCCACTCTAGGAACACAATTTGAAATGGCAACACCAAAAATGTGTGAGCCTAAGGGAGTGATCAACTAAGAGTCCAACTACTTACACAGCCATAAGCCTTGAAACTGAAAAGCTTCATACACTTGAAACATTCCACAGGAGCTGTCCTTACTTCCACCTCTTGATTCTCTAGCAGCTTGCCACAAAAAATGCATTCTTATGGTGAGGAAAAGAGAATTCCACACCTTCACTAGTGATTGAATACTATACAAAGAAGCCAAGTCCTGCATTTGTCCTCAACACACTTCAGAAATTCATAAACCAACAACGCATGGCATTGCATGATACACTCACCTTGATGTTAGGTTTTCCTAGTATGATGCCCAGCCATTGATTCAATATCTTTGAAATTTTGGATTAGAGGTGCAATCACATTCCTTAAAGAATACTTGTTTACCTACAGTCAGGCCAGTTGTAAATCACTATTTAGCCCAAGTGATATTACCAATGCAGGTTTGGTTCACCAGAGGAAGATGGACACAAATCTGATAACCAGCACACACACTGGTTTAGTAAGATACAACAGCATCTTTCACATTGTGAGTCTCAGGCCATGACAATCTCATACTCAAAATTTCAGTGATGCAAAAGCCAACACAGAAAGCCAACAGAAGCGCTGGATACTCAAGGACTTCACTTTACCATGTAGTGTCTCCCTAAAGAGCACCCCAGAACAGGAAATAACTTCTGAATTCCCCCTACTGCACGACACCAACCATAAGGACCTTAAAGTCTAAATCCAAGATAATTACTGTTGTCGGCCACATTTCAGAAGTTGGTGTTTTTACTTTTATAAATACCCATAAATTTGAAAATAAATGAATAAAACTGTTACCAGCTGCTGGAAGCTTTCTTTCCAGGGATTTGGGTGTTCATATTCTTCTGGATTAATCTGATAAAATTTACCAGGTTCAGGATGCATCATTGGACGAGTGTACTCAAATACTTCCATATATAATCTTTTCCTGAGCAGAAGAGAAAATTAATGCATTTCTGATAATCTTTCATTTTCATATAAAGCCAATAGCTAAAACAATGGCTTTTTTGAACAGAATTTTCCAATGACAGTGAATATAATCAAGATCAGTACCTACTACTTAAAACCAATTTTTTGTTGTACTGACTTTTGCGTTTTTCTGACAAATTTTTGTGTGTTTTATAATTCAAGACAAAAAGTTCTCAACGTGCAATTTTCATGACAAAACTTAAACAGTTACACTATTTGCAAATCAAACTGTGCATTAACGACAGCATTGCTTTAACACCTACAAAAACTAGTAGCACAAGTATAACAAAACTTAAGACCAAGCGTGCCACCATCTCTTCTTCACCTTGCCAAAAAAAGACTGAAAAATGCATTCACCGAGAACAAGTGATGCACTGTATTCCAAAAAGAGTTAATCAGTGAACAAATTACAGTGGTTTAAAAAGAAGAAAATGGCACACAGCAGTTGGATTCTTTTCATTAGTGCCAGAATGCAAATAATTGCAGTGTCCAAGCCTGCTGATATTAAGCCCAGACTTACAGGATGCCACTGAATCACAGAAGTTGTAATTCCTCTGACAAGGCATCCCCAAAGCTGTCATTAGGACAGAAAAAAAGGGGTAGTTCTATGATGTTATTTTATTATTTTTCTTTTAGTCTTAATCTTTACTTCTAAAGAAAAGCAGCTTAAGAGATACGTTGGTTTTTTTCCCATATAAAAAACTGAATAAATGGGAACTAAATTTGTAAACTCTCAAGAACCTAGGGGTAGAGCAGACTCGTGAGGGAAAAAAGCTCAAGTGTCCAACCATTAAACAAAACAAAACTCCAAAAAATACCAAAAAAAACCCCAAAAAAAACCCCATTTAAGTAATACTAGACAAAGCCTGCATGTAAGTTGAAGAAATGTTTTTTTTTCCTTCTGTGTGAAGTAACATAATCCCCATAGTAGCCTAAAAGATGTTCAAGAGGGAAAGAATGAAATGGCAACTGAAGGAACAGATTTTTTAAAACCAAGCACTGTTCAACTAGTATCTCCATTACTAGAGAACTAAGTTTTACTGTTTAATACATATAATCAGATATTCATAAGTAACAAATAACGCTTAACTAAACCAGACATAATAAAATACAACTGGTTTTCCTTCAACTAATTGTAACCAGCGTTTCAATTTTTCTATTGTACTGGCATCTTGAGCAGCACATCTAGTATTTCTCAAGATAATGAGGAATAGCTTTTCACTTACCACAAAATTGGATCATTAGCCAGCTCACTGAAGCGTTTACACACACAAGCTGCTCTACAGAGATCCTGCTCCAGCAGGTAGGAGAAGATCTTTAGAACGACTTCATCTGGCAACTTCTCCTGAAGATATTGTTCTGCAGGTGCTGCTATTAAACAGTAATCAATACAATGTTATTGACATATTTAGCGAGCTCAAATTTTGACTGCAGATTACCAACTTATCACTTGAAAGATTCCCATTTAAAATGCCAATTATCTCAAGGCAGCCTTTTTTAAAAGCTTGTTCCTTCAAAAACCGAAGGCAAAAAATCCAATAGAAGGTACAGACTTCAAGTCCTCTTTCCAAACTTCTTATTTCTGCAAACAAGTGCAGATGTTAAGCAGGCTACTGTGCATGTTCCAGAAATGCTGGCTTCTCACTTCTATTAGTCTCATTGTGGTTCAATTAACCCACATTATCCATACAATAATAATAACGCAGTCCCAAAGCCAAAGTGTCTGCAAATGTTTTCAAACACAAAATAATTTAATCAGAAATAGTCACTGTCTAGAAAAACTACTAGGAAGACTTCCTTGTTCTCCCATATTAAACACATTAGGGAAAGAGGACATCTGGGATGTAGGAAACCAAGAGCCATCAATAATTCCTAAGTCCCCTCCTTCCACTTACTCCCATTTATGTTCTTCCTCTTAAAATGAAAAATCTAAACCAGAAGAAGTATTAATCTTGCCAGATTCATTTCTTCAGAGAGGCTGGAGAAAGTTGTATTCTCATGACAGGAGTGCACTTCGTTAAACTCCTGCTCATAGACACTCCACATACAACAGCTCCTTTGGGAAAGCCCTGCCTGCAGTTTGTGTTCTCAGCAGACCCTCCTAGGACAGGAATCCTCAAAGCAGGAAAGTTCTGCTGGCAAAGATCATTTGTTTGGCTAATGCCTCCAGAATCCTTTCTATGATCCTCAAGGCACAGCCACACAGAGCAGCTTCCAAAGTTTGAATGCCTTGCATGCAAATCCTCTAAAGTTGGTGAAGCCCACTGAAGTGACCTTAAGAAAGATGACCTACTAAATACGAGGGAATAATAGTATTATGAAAAATAGTATCCGTGCAAGTTTTCACAGACAAACGAAACAAACAAACTGCCCCAGGATTCCCCTGGGCAAGGCAGCACAAAGAAATGTGTTATTTCCAGCTGTAAGATGGAGAAGACAGGAACTGCAGGCACTCAACTGTGGCTTTTTTACTCCCCCTCCAACTGGGGTCTGCAGACCACATCACCGGAACCTATGTATTCTGACAGAAGTGATTAGAGTTGTTTTTCCAGAGCGTCATGCTTACATCTCTGATCAGACCAGGTAGTAGAAATTCTGAAATATTCCTGAGACTGCAGCACCTTCCCTGAACGTGTTCCTTATTGTGCCATCATATGATTGTCCCCTTAGTGATTCCAAAATACCAATTTCATCTCAGATGCCAGAGGGGTATTTATGCAGCTGACAGCTGCTCACAGCAGTATCACAGTTTACAGCCATAAACTATAGGTATATGCCACTTCAACCAACAAAAATCTATGCTGTGCCAAAGTGGTTAAGGGCCATCATTCCACACATCCACAGCTATTTGTTCCCAGAGTAGTCTATCCTCCTCCTGAATTTTTTATGATCAGCTTCTTGCTGTAGTCCATCTCAAGCTACAGAATTGCTAGCATGAGACACAAGAAAAGAAACAGGAATGAATGCCCAGAAGTTGGCCAAGACAGTTCTCTTCTGCAACAGCATTATTAATGGCAGATTACAAAATTATTTTTAATCAAGGAAAAACAAAACAAAACAAAACAAAGCCTTATAAGCCAGGCTGAAGCCAGTAAGTTGGTAAAACTTATGAAATACAAGTAGTCTGGAAAGGACTTCTGCTCAAGAGACATTTGGGAAGGCTGAAGTCTGAAGAGCTTAACAGCAGCCTGTAAGGGGAACATGGTTGGGCATACCAAAAAATGTTACATGCCCTATCAATGCTGGTTTTTAGAAAGGTCTTTTTCCACTGAAGATATAAAGGGTCCTCCTTGTGTCAAACAGGCAGGAGCAGTTTATTCTACAGTCCTAATTACTCTTGAAATGCATCACACAATAACTGGACATTGCTTCTGAATTAATCTTTTTCTGGTAGCTTTCCAGTTAGATGTAGTTTTCTACTGTCTTACTGAAAGCTGAAATGTTATATTGCAGATATGAAACAGTAAATCTTCCCAAGTTTTCCATGACCTGTCTTCTTTTAACACACAAATCCCTGAGGCATATAATTTAAGCAGTTACTCCATAAACAACCTGAAGGTCTTTTTCTTCCTTTATCTATATTAAGACTTTGAATAATTTTTTACTGAATGGGGAAGCTCACTAACATAGAACCTTCCCAGTGCTCCCAAGTTCATACTCCTGTTTTCCTCCCTAGGCTCAATTTCAAAACTGAAACTGAAATCCAGATGTGTTTCCTTACTGCAGGGGACAAGGACCAACTTTAAGAAAGTGACAAAATACTTGGAAAAAAAACTATAAAAATTTACAAGCCTCAATTAACCTTCTTGCCCCTGCAATTTTTCAAGTTGCATTTACTTGGAAATTTAGGCAGTGCTTTCAAAATGAAGATGATGATTTTACAGGTGTTTGCTATCCTCACTCAGCTTTATTGAAAATCCTGTAGAAGTGAGCCATTTAAATTGCCCTTCTGCTCAATTAAGCAGGGGTTGATTTAAGATTTCTCCACTCAAATCACTGATACAGTGATTACCAGGTGAAATTCTCCAGTATAATTTTTCTCCAGAAAAAGCTGATTTGCTTCTTAATGTGACAACTTCTCTGTATCCAAGAGAGACCTACATGACTTTGCTCTATTAATCCACACTTCACATCTTGGATATCTTTTTAGTAATGTGTCAAAGCAAGGATGTAATCCATGTGTTCTTACCCTCTGTTTACAAAAATGAGCCAAAACAGTTTTTAAAGGCTTGTCTGGCCACCAAATCAGAAGCATTTATATGCTCCTACTCCTGACAGTTTCATGCCTATTGATGAAGTGAAGGTAATGTACAAAATGCATGCTCATTAAAAGAAATCCAACCAGTTTTCCAAATAAGTGTCAAAACCAGACAAGAATAAAAATAAAAAACGAAGTGTGAGAGGTCATTACCAATCTTTATCTTTGCCCTAATGTAAGTTGACAGTTGAACTATTTATGATTTAGCAAGCATTAATATACTGCACATCTGAAAGTTAGAAACACAGCTAGTTATGTCATTCCATTTCCACAGGATATGCACAAAGCTAATTCAGTTTCAGTTTTGATCGTTTAGCTGATAGGGACTAGCAAAGTAATACCAAGACAAAGAACAGGGAAAGCTGTCTGAAAGTGAATTCCCTTCTATGTACAAAGACCAAGAATGCCATCCCAAGAATCCAAAATTGTAAATTATGTCTTATATGGTTGCTTTTTTTGTCCATTTTAGTTGAGAAGATCAAGACAAATAGCTTTTTCTCCATATGGACATATTTAGTAAAAATCTTTTCTTGTTAAGAAGCAAAAATATGTCAGAAACATAGCATGTATTGTTCTTGGGAAAGTATCTTAGGAAATCAATAGGAAAACAAAAAAAAAATCAATTTAAAAAGTAAGCTCTATAAACTTATTCATGTTCCTAGTGTACAGAACAATCAGTGAGTGAGCCAGTAACCTCAAGTCTCAGTATGTACTGCAAATCCATAGTTCAGTGAAAACAGAAATTTAAAATAGCAACACTCCCAGCAGAACTAACTCTGAAATCTGTATTAAAATACACATTTTTCCAACTCCTGGCTCCACTCCAGATGGAAATTCTACTGGACTGGCATTTCTCCTTTCAACTTCACTGAATTTTCCTCCACTCAGAGTCTGTTCAACAAGGAACAGTTTTCCATCAAGAAATTTTCCTGTATTTCTAGTCCCTCACCTTCATTTTATCTACAGCTCTAAACGCTTGTACAGCCCAGATGACAACACACAATTGCCATTCATGACAATCCAAAAAGTCTCACAACTCAGTGGCAACAGCTATCATTACCTATGCCAACAAAAACCACGAGGTAGACTGTGCGTTAAAATAAATGTCACCAGAATCAATATTCGTGCAAATTTAGAGGAATCTCTTAGAAACTCAACAGGGAGGATAAAAAATAACCATCACCCATACTGGGAAAGAGATTAATAGAAAATGGTTTGAGTTTGAGGACACTCCTTTCTCACCTTGCAACTGGCTTGAACACAGTCCTAAAAGTAAAATTGTAAAATCACTGTTTACAATTTCTCTGTTAATTCTATGCTAGAGAGAAGCCTCCACAATCCCCATTCTTTCCCCTCATGAGCTCAAGAATCTAACAAATGGAATGCACAGTAGAAGTGTGGAGAATTCCTCTTGAAATCAGTGTCATTCATGTTGGAAAGTTACACACTTTCACTAAAGAAAGGAGGAGAGTAAAAGCACAATGACCAACACAGCAAAAAAGTGAACGAAATGGAAGAAAAACTAAGAACTGTCAAGAGAAACGGTGTCTGTGACAAGACAACTGTGCACAAGGCTACAGAGAGCCAATCAGGACAATCAGCCAATGCAAAATGACACAGGTTTATGTCCCATTGGTTCTGGCTATTTCAAGAATATAAATCTGAAGTTAAATGGTTCTTGAACAGCTGCTAAAATGAAGAGTTGATCAGAGAGGGGGAGAATAAAACAAAGGCGGGAAAAGAGAGCTCAAAAGACAAAAAACTATACAGTGGAGAAAACGAGAAGCCAGAAATAGCAGACCTCAACAGAAGGAATGAAAACAGACCCCAAACCCTGTGCCAACTGCTCAGTTTTAATTCACAATATTAAGGGAGACGTGGACTAATAAAAACAGAAGCAAAAAAAGCAGGAGAAACCACATCAATGGGAGTTGGCAAGCATTAGTGTTGATTTTCCAGGCAAAAGTGACAGCAGATCTCCTGGAACTGAAGAGTGTACCAGGAGACAAAAAACAAATAGAAGCAGAGACATTGAAGAACTATAAGGAAAACAGAACAAGCAGGGGATAGGGGATGTGTGCCTGTATATACCTACAAAGTGTGTCCACACAAATAAAATACACGATACAGTTATATACACATGTATTGAATGTGTTTTTATTATACAATGTATATTTACTGCAGATGTGTGCAAAAATCTACGTATGTTATGTACGCAGGTACATCTGTTGTTTCATTTACAAATACACCAAGTCTTTGCCTCTCTCCACAATGAAGTGCTATTATGACATATCCAAACTACCCCTAAAAACGCAATGGAACAATGCCATCAATATCAGAAATTAGGCATTAATTAGGTAATTAAGCATTGCAGTATTATTGCTCCTAACAGTAGCTTAGATACAAGTACACAGCACTATGAGAATAAAAAACAACCAAAACATGCCTGCAGTGAAGCAGACAGAACAAAGGATCAGATTACAAAAATTCCAATTGAAATTATGCTACCAAATTTGAAGTTCAGAACAATCTTGTAGTTTTGTTTTGGTAGTTTTTCCCCACTGCTGTTTCTTACTTGGAGAACACACAGAAAAATAGTTTGGGGACAGTATGTGCAGGAGAATGCATTATGTTAAAATGTCTCCACTCCTTCTCCCTCGCCCCCTTTTTAGTACAAAAGTTATTACCTGATAAATCCTGTGATTTCCCAGATACTCTAGCACGTTTTGCTCGGTGACCAAAGTTTTCAGTAGCTGAAGTAGAGGCACCCTTTAATGAAAAATAAGAAAATTTAAGAAAAATACTAACTAGTTTCATATTCTTGAAACAGTAAAATTTCCTTTACAATTAAAACCAAAGAAGTTACCTCCATACTGCTCTTTGTAGGACAAGCTGTTCTTTTAGGTAGAAGAGTTTTTCTGCGAAGTTGGTATGGGCTGTTTTGTGCACCAGGACCTGATTCTTCTGCAACCATATCTGCAGGTACATCATCATCTGCAAACAAAATGAGAAATTCGATAATTGGAATTGTAGTTTTGCTTCATACCAGGAAAATGCTACAGGAATTTTCAGGCAAGTACATAATCAGATGGGTGTTAGAGAACACAGAACTTCCAGTAAAAAAAAAAAAAAAAGTCAGAATATCACAGCATACAAATTTAAGTTCCTTCATGTGTAGTTTCTCCATACATACACAGCAGCTACACCAAAAGCAGCTTAAGAAAAAATAAACAACCAAAAACCTAGGCTTTTGGTTTCCCTGCAAGCATTTAATTCACTACACTAATTCAATCACCTCATTACTTCAAATGTTTTACCTAACACTATCAGCAGAATGAGGAACACTGAAGTATCAATTATTAACTAAATGTTATCAAGAAATCGTTTAGTAAACATAGCACTTAGTACAAAATTCAAGACTGAGTTTTCCCCAAACATCTTGGGAACAGCTCAGGCCAGCACACAAAACCTTCCGTAAAATGGAGGTAGCTTTAAATACATACATTCTCTTTACCTAAATCACACTTCAAAAAATAAGAGCATATTTTCTCCCTGCCCTTTAAAAAAGAAGTGCAGAAAGTATCAGGAGCATAAATTTAAAGGTTTTGATTCATTAGTTTCAATTTTGTCTGAACATATATTTATGGAACATACTTGAAACAAGCAAGAAATAATTACTCATCAGTGCATGCCCTGTAACTAACATTACATTATAAAGTTGCAAGAATTTTTAAAAGGCCAGAACAAAAAGCATCTAGAAAATAAATTAAGACCATATTCTACTTAAGTAAAAGGTATACTTTCTGCAGATGCTTAACTGTGAGAAAACAATTTTCCTTTTCATTTTAATTGCCTTTTTCTACTTAAACTGGGCAAAATGTGATGTGAAAATAATAGCCATAAAAGCAGTGCCACAGAGACAGCAGTTTTCCTGAATATATTAGGTTGAAGAGACTAACATAAAATCCACAAGAAAGAACCCAATATGCCACCAATAAAACTCCCCTACTCTTCCAATACTACAGAAGTAAAACACAAAGCAATGCAATTCTGAAGTGACTCACTTGCATTTCAAAATCTTGATCTCATGATTTTCCTAAAGGTTTCTGGTTGGGGGTTTTTTGACATAAATTACAAAACATTGTACTTATATCGGATTATACACACCATGCAGCCTGAGCTGCTACAGCAGTGCAAAAAAAAAAAAACCAAAAAAAAAAAAAAAAAAAACCCCAAAACCCCAAACTACTTTTCCCCTTCCTTAGCCGGTATTTATAAACGGAAATCTTGCCATGTACCATTAGAGATCACAATACCCAAACAGAGGACAGAAACTGGTGCAAAGATGAAGTTCACTGGTGATATGTACACCACACAGGCTCCTCAGAGCTAACAGAGGAAAGCTTCATCGCCTCATTAATCCACCTGACAATTAACCTGCATGTACCTCCATGATCAGCCTTCAGCCGGCCCAGCAGCTGGTCCAGCTCAGCACAGCCACAAGATCACATGATTGGGAAGAATCACCAACTGCACAGGTTTTTAAGGACAGAAGTGAGCTTTGAAATTTCTATCAAGACACCACTTTTTAAAAGAGAGCCACCTCCAAAACTTCAGCTAGAAGCTGGCTCACACTCCCTGTCTGCTGCTTCCCAGGCACACCTCACCTCTGACTAATTCACTACCTAGGATGGATAAGTATTTATGAATTATGCAAAAAGCCTAGAGGACACTGATAGATGAACTGTAGTCAATTTTCCTGTGAAGGCATTTCTGGCTCAGCATGGGGATGATCACTGCCTGTGTGAGGTCACTGACCTCTGAGAAGATTCCATGCATACTCATGGTTCAGTCATTGGGCTTTACCTGTTTCTTTGCATATCTGATCAAAAATACCCTCTCAATTTAACAAGGTAGGCAGAAGACAGAAGCTGCTAGAAGAGAGCTCCCAGCCTTCCCTGGCACACCGAAGCAGAAAAGCAGCCGTGGGTGTGAAGCAGGCCCTGCCAGGAGGAATTCAGGCACCACCACCAGCCCCTGAGGCTCCACACAGCAAAACACCCAATGTACTCAGACATTGCAGCATGGGTCAATTTGCAGGCGTTGTTTCTATTTTAGATTTGATACGGTAACTACTGTATCAAACGGTGTTTACTGTTCCTAATATCCCACAGAAGCTACCAGGGGACTTGGAGCATCCCTCCTTCCCTATTTTGCATTGAAGACACAAGATGACTGCCAGAACAGCTGGGTTTTCCCTCCTGTTCTGGATGGTCAGTACAACAGTTCAAAATTGCCACGTGAAACACAGCAACAGCATCATAAGCAAAGGTAACAGGGGAAAAAACAGAAAGCAAAGCAGAGAATTTCGATCGCTCACTAGGTGATGGAAAGGGCAGAGATAAACCCCAATCAGGTCTTCAGAAGAACACCCAGGAGGCCACAAAGGACAGAATGTATTACTGATGCAAAGATACAGCAGAAGCCTGTGGGCTAAAATGGAAGAAAAGGTCAGTTTGGCTGAAACACTGAAGGACTGGCTAAGCAGAAGAGAAATATATTCATTTTCTTGCAGTGTGTTTAGGAAAATGGCAGGAGTCCCACTAAAAGATCTCTTTTCTAGCACAGATGTCATTAACAGATACACACACACTCACAGCAGGTATCAGAATGAAAATTTTCCTTTTTCCATCTGAACACCAAGGAAGATGAGGGAAGGGTACCATGATGTCTCTCACCAGCAGTTTTTGCCACACTTCTAAGGGGCTTCCGCACAGATTTCTGACACTTCAGGAATAACAATTGATTCCATTTTTCCAGATGCAGCCTGTGTAGCTACTGCCAAGTGAAAAAGTACCAGGAAACCTGAAGGTCTCGAGTGATCCCTAAGAGCAGTAGCCTTGGTGCCTGGTTTTAGCCTTCCAGATGCTCCCTGTAAGCCCTGAACAGACTAAAGCAGCTACACTGGGAGCCTTCAGAGAGATGCTGCTCACAAAGTAACACTTCAACACTGCACACTGCCCTTCCCTGAGCAAGGAAACTCTTAAACCAGACTCCAAGAGCTCTGTATTGAAAATCCTTCCCTAAAAAACACTTCAACGTACACCTGCTTTAGAGCAAAAATATGTTTTAAAATACAGAAACTCAGCGCCTCCAAAATATTTTGAAGAAACCTATTTTAAACTGTAACAGTATCAGGCAGTAACATACATAAAAAGCATTATAATCACATTTGTTGATGATAGAAACATAAAAGTCAATAAACAAATTTGGAAGAGTGTGTGTGTGTAATATTAATATCATCATACAAACACCTGCTGAAATGACTGCCAGATGCTGTCACGATTTTAACCAAGTCAATATGTTTGCAGTTTTTAAGAGATTAAATTAAGCTGAGTCTGCTCTCAATTAAAAATATTTACCTGAATATTTTAGACCAATTATATTGTATAGTAAGATAAAATAATTTCAAATAAAATCATGTTTACTGAACCTCATGACTCTACAGGTCAAAACCTAAATTTAAATTAAGAATTATCTCACCTGATAATTCAAAATGACTCATGAATCTGAACTGTAACACTATAAACTTTAAGACGCACAAAAGACCATAAAGGACAAATACTTCCAGGAGGAAAAGAAGAAAAAAAATCTGCCATTCTGGCAACTACTGTCAAAAGTGCTTTGCATTTCCAAAGATGCTGTGGAAGTGAGTACATTAAAATAAAGAAAAAAAAAATATATATATAATTGACTTTTGTTTATCAAGACGTAAGTTACAGTAGTGACAGTGTTGTCAAGAGCTAATTATTAAAAAATATACATACCTAGGTCACTTCTAAAGAAAATTTATCATGTCCACAATGTCTTTTCCAAAACATGTGCACATGGTTTAATTTCTACCTTATATGCATTCAGATTGTATTTCCAAAAAGCATCATAAATATAAATGACAACTCTAAGGTTGTTAAATTCTTTAAAACGTAAAGAAAAAAGCCTTAAATTCCCCCAGCACTCATCATAAAAATTAAAAACAGGGGAAAGGACCCCAAGGAAGGCAGCTCATACACTAATCTGTAGTGTTTGATCACTTAAGTTTTCACTCTGCAACATCTTATTTTTGTGCTGGTTTTCTGTACCTTCCTCAAATGGGGCAGGAGGAGCAAAATCAACCAAACAAAAAGATCTGTAGTTAAGAGAAGCAGAGTCTTGGGGGTGGCAGGTATTTCCAAAAAGACACAGCACTGAAATTGTTCCTGCAGACTGGGGGAAAAAAGTGGTGGGAAACCTAATCAACCAGTTTTAAGACAGGAAAATCCATATTGAATTGAGAGTGATCTAAAATAGCAGCTCTGAAAAATAAAGTTACCTATTTGAATAAGCCATAATTCATCCTGCTTATTAAACAAATTTTAACAGGAGGAGTTCACTAAACAGTGTTTTTAGTGTTTAGTTTTTTAGAACCAGCAGAACTTTAGAATGAAATAATAAACTACTATAACAAAAAAATTCCAACACTGTCCATCTTCATAACTAAAAGACAACATAAATGAAGCAACTAAAATGTTAACTGATACAGTTCATTTGCTCTGGATTGAGCTTATCTTGCCATAAATCTGGCAAAACCCATATCAAGCATCCTGCCAGCCTGTGAGATGACAGCCCCAACTACTTGATTAGATCCAGTTCTGGATTAGCTCAAAATTCCAAAAGAGAGGAGAGGATGACAAATATTTAAGGGAGTAGAGAGGAAGGTACCCCCAACAGAGCTAACAATGAAGGCAAGTAACTTACCGAACAGAAAAGCAAGGCAGTTCTGTATTTGCACTTACAGCAACATCTCTGCAGCAAACTGCCGACCCAAAAACCAAGCAGAACACACCCACTCACTACTTTTCTTTAAGGAGCAAGTCTCCGGGAGTGAGCTGTTAAATAAATGCATGTATCAGTAGTGTGACTGACACTCATCCTGTGTCCTTGAAAACATTCCTAAC